ACAAGTACGTCCACGAGAGCGACGTTCTGCTCCACCACTATCACCACTGCCACCACCACCAGGCCGAGTGCGAGATCCTTTGGTGGACGTGGCCAGGTTGAGGCGCAAAATGCAGTTGATTATGATGGGAAAGGCATCAGACGATGTTCGTAGAGAAGCAATCGAGATACTGGACTCTCTGCAAAAGGCTAGTTTTTTTGCTATTTGTTGGGTTTTTTTCTCTTTTTTTTTTGTAGCAGGGCGAGATGAAACTTCTTTGTGTCCATCTCATCATCCATAGCAGTATAATTTTTTAGCACTCCAAAAAGATAAAAAACTGAAATTTCCAGGGATACAGCCCTTGAACTGTTTTGCAAAAATTACTTGAAATTTAGGGACCGTAGTCCTTAATTTGTTCGCGAGAAATTTCTACAAGCGAAGAAGCGTATAATTCGAATTTAGTAGCTGCTGGATGATCACTAGCAGTGGTCAAAGCAGCTGGAAAAGCTGTAGCCTGCCAAGACGCAGAACTGAAACCCAAATATTTGAAATATGTCCCTGATTTTGATCTGAAATCCAAATTTGTAAAAATTTGACCGAACAAAGCAATGAGCTTGAAAATTCGAAAATTTTTTTCTTCTGCGCTGCATTTTAAGAAAAAAATCTATGCTCCTAATAGTTCAGCCTTGTACCATCTTGCTAAATGCGGTATTTTTAGACTCAACTTACTTTGAGATGTCTTCCGGGCCAGGTGATTCTACCCTTTCTAAAAGCATAATCGCGAAGAAGTGATTATTTTACGCTTAGGGATCAATTCATAATAAGTAAGCTAAGTTGCCGAAATTTCAGCTTTGTAGATTTCTTTTATCTGGAAATCAAAATGTGCCTGCAAAGTTCACATACACCACACACACACACACACACACACACACACACACACACACACACCGATGGTCCTCGACAAAATGCTGCGTTGCATAGATGCAAAAATCGCATAAAAGTCGATCTTCAGTAGGGACTACGGAACAGAAGATGCCTTTTTTGCGTATTTTTGTCCAGCTGCAAAGCAAGCTTGTGCCAGTAGTTTACAAGCGCTTTGTTCGGCGTATGGAAATTCCAAAGTTAATTTTTTTTTTTTTTGCATTTCCAGAGTTAAAAAGAATGGGGAAAGGCTGTAGTTTACTCCCTCAAGTCACTCACAATGACCTGGTCATCCTGACCTCTGAGGACCTCATGTCCAGCAGCA